CGCCTCATTCTTTTCCGAGCGATAAACAAATTCGTCAGCGTTCCCTGTAAAGAAAACGACGAGAAGAAGAGAGGGAGAGCTTATTGTCAGTTGTACGTACGTAGAGAGAACGAGTAGTCGTACTTCTCATTTTGACCTTCCACTGTTATTACATCTTGACATCTAAAGGAATCCGCGGTACCCGATTCAATTCGAATCATTTCGTCGCCGATTCAATCACACGTCGATTGACGATGCGGCCGTGCACGATCGCGTTCCTCTTGTCCTTCTGCGGCCTCGTCGCGGTGCCGACCGTGACATTAGACATCTCGCACAACCTCTCACTGAGCGAGCTCATAGAAATGATGCAGGAGAACACGGAACAGCCAAACAGCGCCAAATTCAATCCCGACGTCAATCTTAACACTGTAAGTAAACATATTTTTCTATAAAAATAAATATCGTTATTATATAAATATAAATTTAAATATTATTAACAAACGCTTTGATTTCCTTGCATGCCTTTATGCTCCTTTTTATTTATCACATGTGGCAAATAAAACCTATAAAAAATACTACAATCGGCACAATCATCATAGTCCTATTTGAAAGACAATTTTCTATAACTTTTGTTTCGGTACTTTTCGTTAAAAAATTCCATGATATTTCTAAAAATGTATAAAATCGTGATTTCAAAAATTTTTGAGCTTCAAAAACTCTTTAATTAAGGAAGCATTTTTCCATTTATGTTTATGAAATTTTTTGTTCAGAATTAAATTTTCTATAAAATCTCAAAATCTGGCCGGAATCTTCGAGGCCATCTGTACATGCATTTTATCATAATAAATTATGGATGGAATTTGGGTATGTGAGATTGTATCACAAATAATAAATCAATCTGTTTTTACTTCTTCCAGCTGCAGATGATAAGAAAAGCAGGTTATCCCGCGGAGGGTCACGTTATACAGACGGAGGATGGTTATCTCTTAACACTTCATCGTATCCCAGGTGACAAGGATCAGCCACCCGTGTTGTTGCAGCATGGTTTTTTGTGCAGCTCCGCTGACTGGGTCATTCCCGGCAAGGATAAAGGACTTGGTAACACCTTGATCAATTTTAAGAAATCGCCAATTATTCTTTTATCGAAAAAACGCCGATAAACTTAAATTCTAACTGAAATATTATCACAAATAAAATTCGATGATGCTACAAGCATCTTAACTATAAAAAACTTATTGCGAAAAATATTACCTCAGGATTCGAATCCTTCCGATTCTATCAGAGAGAGGTGTCTTACTTAGTTGCCTCTGTGTCGAATAAGTTTCGGCTTTTTCCCCCTCATTATTTGTTGCATACCTCAATGTTTTCCTTTTTATGCTAGCTTTCATATTGGCCGATCAGGGATACGACGTTTGGCTGGGCAATATTCGTGGAAATATCTATTCGAGAGCGCATGTTTCTTTGTCGTCATCGGATTCAAGATTTTGGAATTTCAGGTAATTATACTGAAGTAAAACGAGAAAATAACAGTACGTTAAAAGTGACACGATAAAAATATGTACTATAATAAATGTACTTACACTGAAGTAAAACGAGAAAACAACAGTATGTTAAAAGTGACACAGTTTTAACGATAATATGTGATTTAATTTGTAGTGAAAAATAACGATAGTTGATTAATTTTGTATTATATATACTTTGTTGTATTTTGTGATGTATATTGATCGAATTTTTCATCAGCTTTCACGAAATGGGCATTTACGATTTACCCGCGATGATCTCGTATATCACGAATACGACATTGCAACCATTGTATACGTACATTGGTCATTCGATGGGTACGACTGCGTCTTATGTGATGGCAGCGGAACGTCCAGATATTGCTCAAGTGGTGCGAGCGATAATTAGTCTCGCGCCTACAGCTTTTCTGAAAAACATAAAAAGTCCATTACGATTCTTCGCACCTCTTGCGGACAAATATCAGGTAATATACCGTTGGCAACTAAATTAATTATTTTATATAGCGATCTAACAATTTAAAACATGCAATAGTCAAGAAACTATACATCTACTGTATTATATTAATTTATTTTGTCTTATAATTTTACGCAGTATGCGAAATGTCCCACTTTATACACATTAATTTTCAAAGACAGCTTGTCTTTCGAGCGAGTCTTTTCTTAGCAAAAACGTCGAGGCATCAATAATTAATCCTTGAGTTACACATAAATGAATAAAGAATTGAGAGAAAGGAGCCAACAAAACTACTTATATTTTTTTTCAGTTATTTTGAGCAGAGTATTTAAAAAATTTAACGTATGTTTTAAAAATGGTGTTAAATATCAAAAAGCTGCGAAACGAACTTTACTGTCCTTAAAAAATTAATATGCAAGCAGTGATATTCTATGTATTTTATTTATGTAAGAAAAATGAAAATTTGGATGGAGCTCACAATATAACAGAAAAAAAACAATTTTCTGTGCAAATATAAACAAGGTAGAAGACTGTACGAAATTCAGATTTAGAGAAATTAACTTTAAAAATGAGAAAGTTATATTTTACCTCTTTTCATATATTAGATATATCTATATATATCTTTGATTATTATAATTTTAATAAGATATTCTTTAACGAATTAAGTTTAAGATCAAAAGTCGCTTGTATAAATCCAGTTCGAATCGTTAAAGAGTGTTTCACAAATATTTATTTATATTTTCAAATAAACAATGAAATTACAAGTAAATTACATCGCGATTAAGAGATCCGGGGATTACAGATAATGGCGCACTTCTTCGGCCAGGACGAATTACTGCCGCAGAACAGTGTATTGCACTTCCTATCAAAATACAGCTGCGAAATATTCCACTTTGAGGAGGAGATCTGCGCCAACATATTATTCCTGTTCGCTGGATTCGACGAAGAACAATTCGACTACGTAAGTATTCCACAAACCGTAATCAAAATGCAACTCTGATCAGCGACTTGAATGTCACGTTTCGCACACGCGATCACACTTCAGATCGGATGTTATACTGTTTCCTAGGCTCTGTTACCTACGATTTTGAGTCACGATCCGGCTGGCGCCTCGACCAAAACGCTGGTTCACTTCAGCCAGGAAGTCCAGTCGGGTAAATTTCGCCAGTACGATTATGGGCCCGAGAAAAATCAGCTGATCTACAATGCAACAGAACCACCGGAATACAATTTAGCAAACATCACCGTGCCGATTGCGTTATTCTACGCCGACAACGATTGGTTGGCCAGTAGTCTGGTGGGTAGCGAGAAAACGCGTTTACACTGACGAAACACATACATGGAACATACATTCATATCAAGGACTGATTCTCATTAAGTTGTAAATTACACTTTATACGCAGAATCAGGCAAGGACGTAAGATAACGCATGATACCTTGTAATATTTTTTTCAAGGACGTGAAGAGACTTTACAGCATGTTACCCAACATATTGGACTTGTACAGGGTACCGTTTCCTAAGTTCAATCATCTTGATTTCATTTGGGGCAAAGACGCGCCTGAGCTTGTGTACAAGAGACTGCTCAAGATTATCAAGAACGACAAGTCGGATAATAAAGATAAGAGATGAATGGGATATTAAATCTTTGCGACTACGACTATAAATTAAAACTAATTTAGTTGGTAGTATATCGAAATAGTTTGTGCGTAGGTAAATTAAAATGTGCTATTTTAGCGCTTCCATCGTTTGAATCTCGATCACAAGAGGATTATAATACAGGAAAAAATATATAAAAAATTATAATTTTATCATGGATGCTCTCTATTTATATTATTATTGTGATATTTTGTTAAATAAAACTGATAGCTTTAAAACAATAAAACTAAATTATTACAAAATAGATTTCATATTATTGTAAGATAGTATATAATTTTTTATGCTTATATTTAATTAAATAGATTAAGATTAAGAATTTGTTAAAAAAGAATTTGTAAAGAAATTTTGCGAATGAATTATTGCAGGATTAAAAAAAAAATGTATGCAGAGATTTTCGCGCATTGTAAGCTTGGATGATATTTTATATTATTAATGATTAAATAATAAAAAAAGTCGTAAAATAATAAAGAAAAAAATGTGTTCATTTAATATCATTACTAATCCTAATATGCTGTAATAATTAATAAATTAAATTACTAATAATCTACAATATTACAAAATATCTACAATATTAATTTTTTCCAAAAATAATAATCTTTCATTATTATTATTATTATTTTTAGTTTTATACTCGAATTCTGTAAAATTTAGTAACTTGAAAAACTTTTCAAGATATAAACTTGAGCAAATCTTTGAATAATGCTGATGCAATGCATAAAAATTGGCAATTACTTTTATCAAATTTATATCGAAATCAAATTTATAGTTTGCATGGAATAAATGGCAAATGACTTACATGGAAGAATCAGTAATCGCCAGTATCTATTTTGGATATATAATAACAAATTATTAGAATTTAAATTATAAAAGAAAAAGAAAGTAGGTCTTCTTTTTTTATTAATTAATAAAAAAAATTTTCACGAAATAATAATAAGTATTCTTAAGCGTTAATATGTAATTATTTTAAAATGTTTTAGACAATAGTACAGACGGCACAGGTGAGTAAAATGTGAAGAAATACAGTTTGTTTGGCAATGTTTATATTTATATTTGAAATCTTAAGCAACAGGAAAGTGTCTTGTGTATATACGTAGTCTATATTCTACAACTTACAAAACAGAAATAAAATAAACATTTGATAAAATTTTTAGAAACTGTTAGCGCTAATAAAATTGATTGCCTAGGAATATTCTTATCAGCGTGCAATAATTAAAATTGACCCTATGAGATAAAACGTTATCCATGCCAATGTAACATTATATAACGGGAACAGTATAATATTAAGCATGTACTTTATGTTAATTGTTACAATGCTGTGAATCATCAATTTAACATATTCGTTTCTGTTTGTTTCAAACGAATACGTTTTTTCCTGTGCTTTAAATTATTTCCTGAATATTTCACAATATATTCACCATAACCATTATGAAACAGCCTGCAGTTAAAATGTGGAAGGTCGTTATAAAAGAAAAACTACTTTTGTTTCCATGAAAATTATAACGATAGTATACTCGTTAACACAGCTAATTCGAAAAACATTATGTACGCGATAGTGCACGTTCCTCCAGTTTTTTTTGCACTTATTTACTTATAGTGCTCGTACATACTATTTCGTAACATTCGTTTGTCTTACTTGTAGTGCTTGGATAGCGTACTATTGCGGATTCTTTCGTTTATTTTGCATCGTAATTCTGGAAATTTAATATAATCTGTCGATATAATAATAGTATATATCACAGAAAGAGAAAGAGAGAGAGAGAGAGAGAGAGAGAGAGAGAGAAGAGAGCATGAGTCATGTATGTATTTTTTCTGAATTTTTATCGTGTGACTAATAATGCGATTAATAACACATTTCCTTTTTCGCATAACAGAATAGTCATCAAGAGAATGACGATTTATTACATTGGCATTTAGTATCTCGTAAAGAGAAGATCAAAAGAGAGCTCAGCTAATCATGCTACTACTCTTTTTGTCTTCTCTTATCAGTATTTCGATATCCAAGAAGACCTGTGCCGACTGTTTTGTTCATCGACGTTGAGATCATTCGTCTACAATGCGTTTGATCGTGAACGTGTACCTTATATCCCTTTGCGGCCTCCTCGGTTCTGCAGCGGCCGGGATACTCGACATCCCGAGAAATATATTCAACAATGTAATCGGAACGGGCAAGGAACAGTCAAACATCTCTACCCAAGCCAATCTCGATATGGTAAGTGTATACGTATCTAGAAAAGAAGATTTGAAATCCTTTTATTTCAACTCTAAAATACTGTAGTTATATCAAAAAACGATTTTACGTCGATTGTTACGTTTCCGTTCGAAATCAAAATCTGAACTCTGAATTACATCCCGATTATAAACTTTAATAATAATAATTTCAATAATTACACTTTTTACTATATTAAATATATATGTCCCATATTTAACGTAAAAATGCTAAAATCTCTTTGCTAAAATTTAAAATAAAATATGTATATATGTACATCTTATTGCATGCCAATGTAGAACTTTGATTAAATTTTCGATTGATTAAGGGAATTTGTTTAGGCTGTGCAATAGCAGCTAAAAATTACAGAAATTAAAAAATTAGTTTTTTTTTAGATTTATATTGTCTTTTGTCGTTTTCACGACATACCCTAAAATTGCAAAAAAGATAAAACAAATGATTTGCTTTATAATCATTTATATAACAATCATACTTCATTGCAAAGGAAAAGTTTTCAAACGAGCAAGTGGATCCAAATAAACTTTTGTATAAATATTTATTAGAGTTTTATTAGTATATATAAGAAGTATGATTTTTAATTCGTACTTCTACTTTATTAAATTTGCAAATAAGTACAAAACATGATTTTACATTAGAATCAATGAAAAATCAAATAATTTTTAAACCAATAAGCGAATTGTACTTAAATTTTACAGACGCTTAGACGTAATAATAGAACAATCAATAAAATTTTTATATTTTTGATGCTTTGAGATGTTACATACATTCTTCAGAGTACTATTTGTATCATTACTGATCTTTCTTTTGTAAGAATTGACAGCTATAGAATGTTATCTTATGTGTTTTTACCTTTCGTCAGCTACAGATAATAAGAAAAGCGGGTTATCCTGCAGAGGCTCACACGATACAAACGGAGGACGGTTATCTCTTAACACTTTATCGTATCTCAAATAGAAATGGTTCACCCGTGCTGCTGCAACATGGTCTTTTGACCTGTTTCGCCGATTTTCTCATTCCTGGCAAGGATAAAGGACTTGGTGTGATATTAAACAATCCTTACGAATATTTGGATCGATATCATCCATCATGTTTCTATCTGAAAAACATTAAAAAGTCACATATAAATAATGTAATCTCTTCAAATCTAATTTTTTTCTTTTAAAGAAACTAAAAGAAATTAATGAAATACATATCATAATCATTCGTATTTTTCACTTAACTTTGACAATGACTTTTGAATAACTTAATTATTTTAAGAAATTAAAATTCTAACCTACTATATTGTTTTAATAATATATTAATGACAAAATTTTGCATATTAATATTAAGACTAATATATTAATATTAGGGCTTAAATAAACACAAGATTTGCTGTGAACAATGTTTTTTTTTTCATGCTAGCTTTTATATTGGCTAACAACGGATACGATGTTTGGATGGGCAATTTTCGTGGGAATACATACTCGAGGGCACATATTTCTTTATCTCCATCAGATTCAACATTTTGGAATTTCAGGTAGTCATGTTGATAAAATAAGTAAAAATAACAGTGCGTTGAATCTAACATTTGAAATTCAGGTATTCATGTTGATAAAGTAAGTAAAAATAACAGTGTGTTGAATCTAACATAATCATAACAATATACCATTTAATTTATGGTATCGATTAATGAATTTTACACTATTGCATAACGTATAATTTGTTATACTTTGTAATAATTTACCGATCAAATTTTTTTGACAGCTTTCACGAAATGGGCGTTTACGATCTTCCCGCGATGATCTCATATATTACGGATATAACATCGCGACCATTATATGCATACATCGGTCATTCAATGGGCGCAACTGCTTCTTACGTGATGGCAGCGGAACGTCCGGAAATCGTTCGAATGGTGCGAATGATGATCAGTCTCGCGCCCGCGGCCTTTCTGAAACATATGAAAAGCCCGATACGGTATCTCACTCCTTACGCGGGAAATATTCAGGTAATACGGAAATACTCTTGGAAAATAATTTGTTATAACAAGATATGATTTAAAATGATATCCAAAAAGGTGACTTTTTCATTTCGGTCTTATGAATTTTTTTTTTACACACAAGATATCCCGCTTTTCGAGTATTTCTTTTTAGTAATTGATTTTTAGAGATTTTGAAATTTGTTTTCTTTAGCAAAAATGTAGCATTATTATAAACGATTAGAAGTTCAAATTAATAGCAAATTTTTCGGCTTGCAAATTTGAAGCGGAATTATTTTAACAGAATTTCAATTTAAGATTTTAAAGTTCCAGAATTATATACTAAGAATTTGAATTTAATTTCAAGAAAAAAAAATTCTTTAAAATATTGAAATTAAGATCGGAGCGATTCGGAGCTTCTATGCGTAAACCACATTTCAAAAAATGTTTCAAATCTTTTTTTAGTTTTTTTTTAGTTTCAAATTTCAATACTTAATAACTTCTCAAATGTTTACTGAGACCTGTAAGAAGTACAACCAAATTACATCGCGATTAAAAGGGCCTCGTGGTTGTAGAATTTCATGCGTCTTCTCAGCGATGACGAGTTTCTGCCGCACAACACTGTGATGCATTACATGAACAAGCTCGTCTGCACGAAAGGAAAAATTTGCACCAATTTGCTGTTTCTTCTCTGCGGCTTCGACAAGGAGCAGTTCGATATGGTGAGTAATCCGCGATGAAAATACATCTCCGTTCGGCGTCATTTCGATCGTCATGATTTTGCTGCGATCACACTTTGAGATCAGATTTCATGTCCGTTTCTTATAGACTTTGATGCCTATGATTGCGAGTTACAATCCAGCCGGTACCTCGACCAAGACGTTAGTACACTTGGCTCAGGAGCATAATTCCGGCAAGTTTCGTCAATACGATTACGGTCGCGCGAAAAATCTACAGATCTACAATGCACCGGAACCGCCGGACTACAATCTCGCGAACATCACCACGCCGATCGCGTTGTTCTACGCCCAAAACGACTGGCTAGCCAGCACTCCGGTATGTAGCGGAATAAACTCATTTGGATCAAAAAGATATATACCTATTGCAGAAGACTGATTCTCTTTGTGGACGAACAAGTAAGGCCTAATATCAAGAAGAAAATGTAGATTCACGAAAGTATTTCTTTAAGGATGTGAAGAAGCTCATCGGCATGCTGCCCAATGTTGTGGACGAATACGAAGTGCCGTTTCCCAAGTTCAATCATCTCGATTTCTTATGGGCCAAGAACGCACCGCAGCTTCTATACAACAGAGTGCTCGAGGTCATGAAATTGGAATCAACGCCATCTTGACGATCATAAAATTGCAATTGTAAATTTTAGTATACAATATTTTAATGTACAAGTTTTCAGTGTTGTGAAAAATACTATAAGTAATATTACTTGACAAATTTATCGCCGATTAAATTATAATCAACTGCATGAAAGAATGCTGCTCAAAACAAAATTTCTAATGACATAACTTCGTTGTCCTTGGTCAGATCTCTTTTTTTTAATGCATTTTTTAAATAACAAATTAATTAATAATTTTATTAACGCGAGCAAAATAGTAGGCCAGGTAGAATGCAAAAGTAATTCATAATATTTATTATGAAATCATGATATCACAAGGATGTTATTATGACTAATTCATTTGTCACTATTATATATAAGTCACAAATAAAATGTAAAAACTGACGTCATTATAACCTCATTTGCTTCTACGTTCTATCTGAGACAGGCGTTATTAATTGATAATCACAAATTATAAGTTAATTGGGTCAAAAGTGTTCTCAAGTCACTCTGAATAGGGTTATAAAGTGTAGTTATACTAATTATACGTGCGGCCAAGAATGTGAAATAATAAAAGAACCTTTACCATTTTCATCCTACATATATCCTATCCTCTACACTTGGGAGCACACGAGAGAAACCGCACTCCTCGATCGTTGAAAAATCGCCTCGAGTATTCGCCGACATAACCGCGTTCGTCCGCAGACTCCATCTGGAATCCCCATTCCGATTCCATTCTTTCGTCGTTAATAATAATAATTCATATTAATTTTATATCTTATGCGCACAAGATTAATAATAACAAGATAGAAAAACGCATAACAAAGCCCACTGCGCACGAGGGACGTAAAACAAACCGTTAACAAGATTTGTTGTTTACAGTGTTTACGAGACATCTACCTTAAAAGTATGTACACCTGAATTCTGAAATTAATCGCGCGCGCGTATACAAGGAACGATCGATAGCGGTTCGATTAATCGAAACGCTCGAGATGCCGACCAGAAGCAGAGAGAGGATCCTCTCTGCCAGAAGGCAGCGCCGGCGGTAGTATCGCCATATATCGGAGGCATCGGAGGCGCGTGGAGCGCGTACTTTACAGTTCATCACAACGTTTACGGCGGCCGATCGGGACGGAGCGGTCAGTGGACCACGAGCGAAGCGGACCAACGGCGGCGCACGCACTCGGAGGGAGAGGGGAGATAGAGAGAGAGAGAGAGAAAGAGTGGAACGCGATCGACTGCACACCTCGATGCGCGATCTCTCGTTTACGCACGTTGCGACCGCGTGGCTCTTCCCCTGAGTGACTTCGATCTCCCGTCACGGTTCGCCGCCGCCGTTGAGTTGCTACTAGTTGCAGTCCGTAACGAGGCTCGGACGCCCGCCCGCCCGCAAGCACGCACGGACGCACGCACACACGGTGGCGAGGATGGGCGACAAAGGGGACAGAGGGGACGTCGCGTCGGTGTCGCCGGCAACACCGGAGGACGCGGCCAGGGCGGAGATGTACAAGGAGGAGGCGAACGAGTACTTTAAGAGTAAGTGAGTTCCGCGCACGTGGAGTTCGCCCGCGCGCCGGACGATCCACGGGACGCCGGACGCGGGCCTTCGAACTTTTAACGCACACGCACGTCGCGTCCCAAGCACGGTCACGTGCTTGGACCCTCTCTCCCCCTGCTCCCCCCCCCAAGCTAACCCCCAATTTCCCTCGTACTACGCGGGACGGCGAGTACGCCGAGTACGAGCGATGGAGAGCGTCGAGATTCCTCTCTCGACGCTTCCCCATCGATCGCGAGATGCAGCGTGTCGTTCAATTCGACACGCCAAGGGTGTTTGTTCATCCTGACGCTCTTTGTTTGGGGACCTGGGGGAGAGTTTTGTCTCCCCCTCCTCCTCCCCCCCCCTCTATGTATTTTTGCCATTTTGGGGGAAATTAAGTTAAGAACGCATCCACGTGATTACGTGAACAGAACAGTGCTCGTAGGCGCGACCAGGCGATGATGCAATCGTCCTGAGTAGCCCGGAACGTTGCCGCACTAGAAACTGTTTTCATGCTATCTTGCTTCCTTGTATATTTATCCTCCCCCTCTCTATTCCGTTCTTTTTCTTTTCAGATCAAGTATACGACAAAGCTATTGAGTTATATACCAAAGCCATAGAATTAAATCCATTGGTTGCTGTATATTTTGGCAACAGGAGTATTGCCTACCTGAGGATGGAATGCTTCGGATACGCATTGACGGACGCGTCCGCGGCGATCGAGTTAGATAGAAATTACGTCAAGGGCTATTATCGGAGAGCTGCCGCTTACATGTCCCTCGGCAAGTTCAAGCTGGCTCTCATGGATTACAAGACTGTTGTAAAGGCTAGGCCGAACGATAAGGATGCAAAAGACAGATACATGGAATGTCGCAAGATGGTTAAGGTGTCGGCTTTTAACAAGGCGATCTCTGTCGAGGATAAGAAGAACATAGCTGATACAATTAATCTAGAAGATATGGGTGAGTTTGTTCATCAAATCTTACAAAGCATATACTTTTATACCTAACATATTTTCGTCGTCAGATATGATTTCCCAATAAAATACTCTATATCATCTTGTCTCGTAATATTTATATATTATATTTATTTTATATCAACTATATGTATGTTATAATTTATTTTATATATTTTTTAACACTGTGACATTAAATATGAGAGTGATTTATTTCTTTTTCTTCTAATAAAATGAAAGCTTTCATGCACTGTAATATTACTTTTTTTAGATACAATTTTTGATTCTTAAAAACAAGAAGAAATGTATATGTAATTAAATATCTCTCCTAAATTAAATAAAAGTGCAGATTGTCTAAGTGCACATATGTAACATTAATAATCGATCTTGGAGCTAATACGCATAATTATTTTTATAGCGATTGAAGATGAATACACAGGGCCAAAATTGGATGACGGGAAAGTCACGCTGGAATTCATGAAAGATTTAATAGAATGGTATAGAAATCAAAATAAGTTGCACCGTAAATACGCTTACAAAATCTTGTTGGACGTTAAGTCGTGGTTTATGGCACAACCTAGCTTAGTGGACATTACAATCCCAAGTGAAAAGAAGTTCACCATCTGCGGGGATATACATGGTCAATACTACGATCTACTTAATATATTTAAGTTGAACGGATTGCCATCAGAGACTAATCCATATGTATCCTTCATAAAAGTAGACAAATTGCTAGTAATTTTAAATCCTGATGTTAAACAAAGATCAAAATATTATCCAAGTGCATATTTTTCTTAATAGTTGCACAGTTATTCAATGGAGATTTTGTAGATAGAGGTTCCTTCTCCGTGGAATGCATATTTACCTTATTTGGTTTTAAATTATTATACCCAAATCACTTCTTCATGTCAAGAGGTACCGTATTCTCTTTCTCGACATTATGACATTGATTTTTTCTCAAAATCTGATTTACAGTGTTGCATTCGAATTTGCGTTGTTCGCATATGTATATATATAATATGAAATATATTTTGTATCTTTTAGGTAATCACGAATCGGCGACAATGAATCAAATGTATGGATTCGACGGGGAAGTGAAAGCTAAATATTCCGTTCAGATGGCAGAATTGTTCACAGAGGTTTACAATTGGCTCCCTCTTGCACACTGCCTCAACCGTAGAGTGCTTGTAAGTATTTGCCAAAGTTGTCATATATGGTCTGCACTATATATTTATTGTTTATTTATTTATTGATTATGAAAACGTGGTACAATTCGCTTCATATTCCTTCACTTCCAACCTTCAATTCTCCGACCAATTTTGTTGATTAACAAATTTTACAATTCTTAAATATTCGAGATATGTGGAATGATAAGTGGATTCGAACCTGACATCCGCCAAACACGAGTCGTACGTTTTCGCGCGGAACCACGCGTCATTCCACGTATATTGCGTTTAATTTCCATACAATTGCAATGACTTGTTTCACGTCAGGTGATGCACGGTGGACTGTTTTCGCGGGACGACGTGACGTTGCAAGAAATCAGAGAAATTGACAGAAACAGACAACCGCCCGACGAGGGATTGATGTGCGAGCTGCTGTGGTCAGATCCGCAGCCGCAAATGGGCCGGGCGCCCAGCAAGAGGGGCGTGGGCGTTCAATTTGGACCTGATGTCACGGAGAATTTCCTCAGGATAAATTCCCTTGACTACGTCGTGAGGAGTCACGAGGTGAAGAACGAGGGATACGAGGTGGGACATGACGGGAAGTGTATCACAGTATTCTCCGCTCCCAATTACTGGTACGCGTTCGTATTTCACATACCACAACGGTTACATGCTAATCCGTTGCATCTACAATGCAACTTTTCTTCATTCACTCTAATATGTTATTTTAATTAATTTAACATGTTATTGTAATCCTAGTGATACCATGGGTAACCGAGGTGCCTTTATCACACTTAACGGCAGTGACATGAAACCTTATTTCACGTCGTATGACGCAATGGTATGTACCTTATTCGCAGATCATGGTTTTTGTTTTAATTTATGTTGGCTACTTGCTTTTATCATGTTTTTTTTGTTTTAAATATTTGCCACACACCATTTTTTCTTTCTCGTTACAGCCTCATCCGAACGTAAGGCCGATGGCTTATGCCAATTCGTTATTAAAGTTTATGTGCTAGTGGAACATCTAGGTATTAATAAAAAAAAAAGAATAATAACTGAAATATAAGTAGTCCAATCACAAAGTGTGCGTAATATATTTGATACTGAAATGGGGAAGGTAAGAGACACTTTAGGCTTCTCCGCAACAATTAATTATTATATTCTTTCTAGGAGATCGCGCGATCGAATTTCCTGTTATTATAAAAGATATATGTGCGGTGAGAAATGCATAATATTGATGGGTACAAAAAAAAACGAGAAAGGTTTGCTTATTTTTAATAGTAGGCAAACTAAAATCTATCAGACTCTTCTTATCTATGATAAGAAAGCACGTGGCTCATCAAACACTAACGATTTGTGTTCGTTTGTAACAAAATGGCGCGAAGAGAACGTTTCTATTTTGTACCCTCAATCCACGGCCACCTTGCTCGTTAAAGATACCCCACTTATACGTGCGCGTATAAAACATATAAAAAGAACAAATAATTTTGATCTCCAGATAGTTGCACGAAGTTTTAATTTTATAATGTATTATTTATATATACGAGAAATGTGCGGAATCTTAAATTTTTAATCGATTCTTTAGCGACCAACGGTGGAGTTTCAATGAAATATAGCAATTATTACGAGAGAATACGTAAATGCGTATGCAAGGAAAAAAAAACTAGAATAATTATGTAGTACAATGTTCCAGCCAATCACCGCTTGTCACGTTATTTGTGACAATTTTTTTACAAAACTACTGATTGGAGGAACTTCTTTGATCTAACATTTTGTTTTTTGTTAATAAATGATGTTTATGATGTACATACATAAATAGATATTTTATTTTAACGCGACTAATAAAATAACGAGTATACGTTGGTACAAATTTATGAGAAATAACGAGTGATCTCATCCGGCAGACTGTTTCGATTTCCATGGGTCACATTCAGAATCTTGATTCTCTCGTTCGCGTGTAACTTCTCGAACAGCGCCGCGTGTTGCTGCGGCACTTTGTGTATCTGCGGGATAGTCCCGATCACGAAAGCTTTCTTAGACGAACCGAAAAGTATGTCCGTTATTTTCTTCTTGAAGTCTTTGCTGAACAGTTCCATCTTGCCGATTTCGTCGACGAGCAACACGTCCTGCAATGCCGAATATAATTGATATTACCGAGCTGTTGTGAAGTAAACGGAAATTCATTTGGGGGCACAGATTGTTATTCTTACAGTGTCCAAATCCAATATCGGAAGCGCCACAGCCTCGAAATTGTCCAGGAAAACACGGTAGTTTCCCACTTGGTACTTGGAAGCCTTTTGCGCCTCTGTTAAGCTTCTGTCCGCAAAGAAAATATGTTAAATACAATGTGTATTCGGTTACGCTTTGTTATTGTTATACAAACGCACTTTAATCGCGCCAAGGATAATCTGTTTCCAGAATTCTTTACTCCCACGATGTCGAAGCCGATCCTGGAGCCGGTCCGATCTCGCACTTCCTCCGTGTAAAATCCGTCGAATCTGCTGCCCTTTTTCTCCAACGCCGACGCGATTTTCTTGCATACTGTGGTTTTACCTATCCCTACAAAATTTTCCCCTGGTAATTCGTTTCTCAGTAATATCAATGAGAAAAATATCATTGCTTTTACTTTTTTCTTTTCGAAAAATCATTCATTATTTATTATGCGTTTGCATGCCTATTTATTGTAGATCATCCGCAATAACGACGGTATTTGATATTCTCTATGTAAAAATGTGTTATTCGTTGTAGCTTATCTGCGCGAAAAGTGGAAATATGTCGAACGAAATTGTGTTAATTTAGCTTAATATTATTTTCTAAATGTAGAACCTTGTCAAATATTCAAGTAATATTCAAGATATTTGGGTACTGGAATATTGGCAAAGCATAAGTTGCATTTATACTTAGTAATGTAAAATATTATTTAAAAAAAAACCACGATTTTACTTTATTAGACAAAAATATAGAATAGTTACTGAAATTTTATAAAATGTATAAAAGAACTTTTCTTAAAATAGAATGTGTTTGAATGTATGTTGCTTATTTTTGTGGTGTGTGTGTGTGTGTGTGTATGTGGTGTGTGTGTACATGTGAAATACACACATGGAACATGTTATATTCACATTAATAAAAATTAGCCTTGTTTTAATTAGGTTAAATTAGCATTTTCTCCATGAGAGTACGAGACCATAATTGTGTATGTACTTTATTTAAATCCCGATCCTAACCTGGCGGACCCGTGAGTAGTACGTGTAAAGGCCGCGACGCGCCGCTGGCTTCCATGACTTGTAGCAGTGTGTTTACTTCTGACTCCGGGAACCGCCGGGAACGGATGTGACATACGGTGTGTGACAGGTCTCCGTCGCGAATTGCGGACGTCGTCGACAATCGACTCGTTCCCGACGAACATGAATTAAGGGCGGCGTTCGCGCGAGAACGCCGACCGCCACGCGCGTGGGCTCGCGCGAGCGTTGTTTACGGCGATTACGACGGCCGTGGACGGCAACAGTAGCAGCACCGGATAAAAGCGTCGAAGTAGACGACAGAAGTGGCCGCACTGGCGCGCGGGGCGGAAGGGGGGCGACCGAACGGCGATCAGCTGATCGGGCTGGACGAGCAGCGACGGGACGAGACAGACGGTTGGCCGATCGGAGTTGATCGGAGTGCGGGATTGGTATGGTAGTGGTAGTGTGGTGGTGGCGACGGTGACGGTGTGGTGGTGAAGCTTCCGGTTAGAGGTTGAACGTTGGGCCCGAGCGTGTGTGTACACACAGGACCGTGCGTCGTGGCGTTTCGTACGTTCCACACGGTCCGCACGTATCTCGGTACGGGTATACTTTCCCATCCGCGCGTCTTCGTAGACGAGTCTTCTGGTGGCCGTGAGCCGTGCGAGGGGACGCGATCTCTCCGCCGCAGGCACAGCCACGGTATATATTTGTTCAAAGTAAACAGCACACGTAGCGAGGGTGGTGGAAGGCGGAGGTGGTGAAAGAAGAGGAGGAGGAGGAGGAGAAGGAGGAGGAAGCGCGGCGATCGCGACGTGCTCGATTTGCGATCCCGTGCTGCGCGAAGCGAAGGGGAGCCTCGCTCTTTTCCGTTGCTCGCGAGCTGCTCGGCGACGCTCGCGCTTGTCCACCCACGCGCACCGGGCACGGGGAGGACGGTAAAACGCGTGGCGATCGTCCGCAGGAGGAGGCCGCAGCGACGACAACCACGGGGGACAACCGTGCGGTGACGTCGTCGACGACGACGACGACGGCGACGGCGACGGCGACGACGGCGACGACGACAGGGATGCCGATGACAGCGACGTCGTCGTCGCGCACCGACGGGGAGGCGGCGGACGGTCGCGTTCGGTTCCGCGCCGGCAGCCTGCGGCGACGGCGCCGACGGCTGCCACGGCAGCCGTGCGAGGGCGGCGACGACGCCGGCGAGCTGCTCGCCCATCCGTCCGAGTGCAGCGCGCTGTCCTACGTGCTCGCGCGACAGATCGACAACAAGGTCGACTACTGCCGGAGCCTGATCAACGCCAGATTCGAGAACTCCGAGAACCTCTACAGGAAGGACCTGCTGTCCCACTATGGATGCGTCAACGCGATCGAGTTCTCCAACCAGGGTGATCTGCTCGTGTCCGGTGAGTTCCCTCGGCGACGAGACTTTTGACTTTCCACGTCTCGCCTCTCCCCCGAACCTTTGTCGGCGCGCTCGACAGAGGAGAAGAGGCGAGGACAACTGCCATAACTCGCGCTTTCGTTCCCCTCGATCGGCCGTTTACGTCGACGTTAATTCGCTCGGGGACTTGAAATGGCTGATAATTTGCTAATAACAAACTATTATTTTTATCTTTACCTGCGTCACTTTGAGAAGCTTACCGAGCGCCTCGAGAGACCGTTCGCCCGATCTTAATTGGATCAGCTTCGATTTTTCGATCAGTCGTATGACATTTTATTATGTCCTTCTTATCCGTTTCTTATGACACGCGGTACCCGTGTTAATGTCGGAAATATTGATTCTCTTCGTTGAAAAAAGCTCTCGTGCGCTTTTCTTTCAGCTCGAGATAAGGGCGCGCGGTGTTTCCGCGAAAGCAGCACTGCGCCGTTCGACACGGTGCCGCGCGAAGAAAGATTTGGAAAATATAGGCTAATAATAGAACGAATCACGTGTGAATGGCATGTAACGTCCTATTTTCGCAGGAGGCGACGACAGAAGAGTTCTATTATGGAGAGTGGAGCAAGCGATACAGGGTATGGGCAAGCCCACCGTGATGAAATCGCAACACGTTAGCAATATATTTTGCCTTGGTTACGACAGCAGCAAGACTAAGATATTCTCCGCGGGGAACGACGATCAAGTCATAGTCCACGATTTGCGCACGTAAGGCGACTTCTTCCGACGACAACGCGTGGAATCCCATGGCAGCACGCATGCCCCCGAATCGGAATATAAAACGTCTTTAAGACATCGTGTCTGAAAGACGTCTTAATAACGTCTTATAACAACGTCGTTTAATAACGTCTTTGAAACATTTTAATTCCGATCGATAAGGATGTTGTACCCGTCGCTTCGCGATTAAAAAGATCTTGACGTTGCAGGGGTGAGTCTCTCAACATCTTCCTGCACGAGAAGCCTGTCTACGGGCTGTCCGTTCATCCGCACAATGACGACGTCTTTGCCAGCGCCTGCGACGACGGGAGGGTTCTCGTTTACGATATACGTAGCAACAACGCTATGGAAACTTTGGCACAATACAAAAGCGCCTTCCACTCTGTCATGTTTAATCCCGTGGATCCCAGAATGCTCGCTACTGCCAATGCTAAAGAGGGTGTCAGTATGTGGGATATACGAAAACCTTTGGAGTAAGTAATATGTATATATATATATATATATATATATATATATATATACACGAATACAAAGTCTGAGCGTTGTGTAGAATATAAAAACGCAATATATCCGCTATTTCGTAGACGTTAATCGTCACGTTTCATCTCCGCAGGCCTGTATTGTGTTATGGAAGCCCGCAACAGAGTTGCATGAATGTCAGGTTTAACTCGATGGGTACTCGATTGTTGGCTTTACGTAGACGACTACCGCCGGTCCTGTACGCAGTGGACTCTCCAACGTACTTGTGCGAATTTGATCACCCGGGATATTATAACAGTTGCACCATGAAGTCGTGCTGTTTCGCCGGCGAGAACGACGAATACGTTCTATCTGGTAAGCACTGATATAAATTAAAGAAAATTCGCTAATGTAAGGCTAAGAAAAACCTTTCGAATATACGCCTGGATATTTATCATAGGATTTTTATCGATTTCATTTCGAATATATGCCTAGATGTTTATCATTTGTAGAAATCCATAATCGGTAAAATATATATGCTTTTGAATTCATAGGTTCGGACGACTTTAATTTATACATGTGGAAAATTCCTCCCATGGAAGGCAAGGCATGGGTGGAATCCGCCCACATGGTGTTGCGCGGTCACAGATCGATCGTCAATCAAGTTCGATACAATCAAGTGAGTTGCATCTTCGCGTCGTCCGGCGTTGAGAAGATCATTAAGATCTGGAGCCCGTTCCCGCTCGGTACCGGATGCCTGGGAGGATTGAAGGTTACTGCTGCTTGCGATACACAAGTTCTTTACTAGAGCAACCGTTTACAACTTGGCATTGTGTCCGTCATCCATTCTCTTTGCATTCTTTCAGAGAGACGCTGGAAAGCGCGAGAGGCAGCGTCGAGTATTCACGCACGACGAATACATAGGGCTGGTCCTGCGTAGCGGACAATTCATGACGCACGATTATAGCCACCAGTCGACCAAGGAAGACCCGCGAATGATGGCCTTTTTCGATTCCCTCGTTCAGCGCGAAATTGAAGGATGGAGCTCCGAGGATGTGCCAACGCCACACACCCCCAGCGACTCTGAAATAAACCCGGCAACGGGCGAGCCGTATAGCCCGACGGAAGGCGATGGTACGAAAAATAATTTTCTATATTTAAAAACAAAACAGGCATGGCTTGTGTGAAACGAAATAAGAAGTGTCGAGTTACTAAATGTGATTATCGTCACAAAATCAAGTATATCTTATTGTTAGAAATCTTAATTTTTATAATTTCTTTTCTGTGTTAACAATTGAATATTTTGATGCGTAGATGTATCTTTTTTTTACTTTGTGATACGTAAATATTGTTTGTATTATTCCGAAAGATCAATTTTTGCGTGATTTTGATTATCTTTTCCAGATAATCCTAGAGTTATACTAAGCTAATTCTACAGTAGAATTCTACAGTTTTATAAACAATACAGATAGCTTACATAGAACAATGTAACAAATCGTTATTCTCGTTGTAGATACTACGGCGTCGGAAGGTGGTGTGGCTCCTGAGCGGCCGTTAGAGTCGCCGAATCGCATAACACGGCTTATCGCGAATCGCAGGGAGAAACTCATGCGAATGGCCGCGATGGAGCGATCCGCCTCGGATTCCGGCAGCGAGGGGGACAACAACGCGCACACGAGACGTAGATCCAAGTCGAAATCGAAATCGAAGAGCGTCAAGAGGAAACACACCAGGCTCTCCGGCAGGAGAAGACTGTCCGCCAGACGGAAGTGTACTGTGTTAAAAGTCAATAGTGATTCGGACAGTGACGACGAGCGGCCGGTCGACACGGCTCAGCCCAGTACTAGTTCCGGGGTGATTTTCCGAAGATCGCGATACGTCGCCAGCGCGCTCGAGAAGGACGACAAGAGCTCGAGCTACAGCAGCAGCAGTAGCTGCGTTTACGAGGACATTGTCGCTATCGGCAAACGAAAACATTCTAAAACCGACTCGGACACGTCCGCGAAGGCGCACAACAAACGGAAGCATCGAAAGTGCAAAAACAGTTCACGACACTCGAACGACGGTTCCGGTAAGAGCCAGAGTAAACGGCAGAGACTCGACGACGACTCGGAGGAGGAGGAGGAGGAGGAGAAGACTGCTGGCCCGAGGAATTGTGTGAACGGTAACTCGAGTAAGGACCACCGCGAGGACGGGCCGTCGACGCCGAGCGGCAAGTCACTTCAAGTTCCTTGCACCCCCGACAGCGGTATTAAGTCAGGACTCTCATCCACGGGCGGGAAGAACAGCGAGCCGGCGCGTAAGGAGCGAAACGACCGGGGCGCGGGCGATAGCTCCGACGAGCAGAAACTGAAACGTTTAGAGTGTTTCCGGAAAAAGGTGGAGGAGCTGGCGAGGAGGAGCTATCGCAATCGATCCGTGTCCCAGGCTCAAACAGTTTCGACCGAGAGTGATTCTTCCGATTAAGCGCGCTCACTCGTTTTACATCTCGTCGAGAAATCCCCGCCCTCTCCGAACTCCACGCTCCACTCCGATCTCCCCATCCCCTTTCCATTTGTACATAATATAATCTGTGATTCCTTGAAATATATTTTTATAACACTAAGTTGATCACGCGCGAACATGCGGTCGATTCCTTCTTTTTTTTTTTTTAATCATACTTTAGATCTTGCTCGTCCGTCTTTGATCCCAATCTCTCTCGTAAATGTATCGTGCTTTCCTTCTTACAGTGTTTCAAAATTTTCTTCGGAATCCTTTCATTGTATATCGTCGATTTCTTTCGTGCGTCACATTTCGTGAACCAAGTCAAGTGTCGAGTAAGGCGGCCCCGATCAATATTATTGTACGATATTCGAATATTGCACAATATTTTTGATATCGCCCAATATTACTGATCAATTTTTGGCAATCGCGAGAGATCGTCTGGAAATATTGAGCGTTCGTTTTGAATTGTTTAACGGGGGGAGAGGGAGGAGGAGTATCAATAATATTGTAGAAAATTGTGCAACGATATTGATCGTCCAGAGGGGCCGCTTTAGACAGACGAGAATTACAATGTTATTTGATACCAACCCTGCATCTATCGTCCCGCGTAATGCCGTTGCGTACTGTCAGTGCTTGGTAATTCTCAGCCAATCTGATAATTATGATGATGTGAGATGATGAACGTTTTGCGGATCTGGCCATGTAAATCGCCATCGTGTAACCGAGGCGCAGAAACTGCGGCGAAAACAGAAACTGTACTGTAGACGCGAATTAACACAGAAACAAAAAAGAAAAAAAAAACCAAAAAAATCCGCATTTACTTTCGAGTATTTGCGGGCGACTCGGCTAATGTGTATTGTTGGCATGGTTTGTGCGGTGGAAAGTAATTAAAAAAAAGTAATAAATTGGTATACATTTTTTTCCTATGTGTTGAACTTTGAAGAATTATTGTAACTATATTGCATTATTTAATCTTGCATTTATATACATCTTTATTAACTGATTACGAATAAACGAGAAGAATATAAGAAAGAAAAAAAACGTAGCAAACCTTGCGTGAGAGATTTATTGTGTTCCGCAATTACATACGTCTCCGTATATATGCAATTGAAAAACAGGTTCCTTCCGTTTCCACTTCTCGGAGTTGCGTACTTATATATAGACAAACGTTGACTAATGTAAGTGATGTCATTGCGGTGTGCTCGAGCACACACCACATCCACCGGAAAGATAACTCCGTTCCCGCAGTTTTCATAAAGACACGGCCCCTTCGAACACGCGAAACCCTCGGCGCGTACGTGACGTTGACCCAAAATGTTTTGGGCGCGCGTTGCGAATTCGGCGTATCTCCGCGTACAGATTCTAATTCTCGTTCTGGCAGGCATCCCGCAGCACAATCCGTCGGCGTACAATATTAATTCGCACAACGCCGAGATATTCGGGAAACCCGTGCACGTGCCGGGTGGACGTGCAACGTACTTCGGATTCTCGGTAGCTCTGTACGTGGGTGCGAACGAATCTTCATTACTCGTCGGAGCACCGCGGGCGAACTCCAATGCGCTGCCGTTCGTGACGGAGCCGGGGACGGTCTTCAAGTGCTCGATGAATGGGATATGCAAGGAGTGGGTGATTGACAAGACCGAGAACGGTCCGCATCCTCGCAACAGGCTGATCAACCAGATAAAGGACAATGCTTGGATCGGTGCTACCATCGCCGTGCAGAACAGTACGGAGGCTAGAGTTGTAGTAAGTTGTTGCTTACTTTTCGTATGAATCATTATTGTTGGAATAACACTTGAAATTTTTACTTCAGATTCACACGAAGAGTGAACGTTATTTTTTTCATTAAAAAAAATTTGACAAGATCATTTTGAACATATATTTAAATTGAATATATTTGAAAAGATCTGGACCGATTAAATTTTTAGATGAAGTACAAAAGTTTATTTTCTGTCGCAAGTATTAATTACTAGATCAACCTAGAATGTTAGAGATATTTGATATTAAAAATTATACAGCTCTTAAATTTTTACTTTTCAAAGATTCAAAATTATATAATATAAAAACGCAGCGACACTAGCAGGCGCTCTTCACTTATTTTCTTGTAAAAAAATATATAAATTCTTCTTCGACAAGCGGTTTTATTGGTAACAGGTTTGCGGACCGCGATGGATAAATAATATCGTAAATGACAACAAGCCGAATTGGTACATGAACGGCATTTGCTACGCGACACTGGCGAGTAACGCTGATGCATTCGAGAGACAAGCGGAGGAGCATCTCTTACCACTTTCGAACTCTGAAAATCAAGTCACGTCCAAGAGCGGCGTAAACATTTATAACTACGGGGTGGGACAGACCGGCTTTTCTTTGCATATGAACTCGCGATACACCGTGAATGTCGCAATGGGTAGTCCAGGTGTATACAACTGGAAAGGCGATGCGATATTAACTATCGCCCCGGTGAACCGTCCATTCACGCGCACGATAGTTCCCTCGCTCGCTAGAGAGCCACGGATTCATAGCTACAATTACTTCGGTAATGATATATTTCTGCCACTTCTCTTTCAAGGTAAAACGTATCAATGGACGAACACATGCCAGTTACTGACTTCGAAACAGAAATTTTTCTTTTTTTTTTTGTTAGTTGACTATATTAAAGATTTTAAAGTAAAACATCGATAATGTATGCAAATGTGAACAGAGAAATGTATATAAATCAATTATCCGCATTTACAAAAATATTTACTATATAAAGGTAGATTGTAAAAATATTTTACTCAACACCTTGGAAAGTCTCATATCTTAAATGTCCGGCCATTGGTACATTTCCTGTATTTATTTACCTCACAATCAGAACCATGCGTGCATATATCCACGTGGTATGTGATTTTCAGGATACGCTATCACAGCGGGTACTTACTTCAATGAGCAAGACGTCTGGTATGCTTCCAGCGCGCCACAAGCCGCCAATATGCATGGAAAAGTCCTCGTATTTACTTTTCCCCCTACAACTAATCAGCGTATGTTTATTAAAACGATACTGTTCGGTCAACATTACGGTGAGTACTTCGGTGCTGCGCTAACGTCATGCGACATCAACAATGACCGTAGACAGGATTTGATCGTCGGTGCACCGCAATGGTCCAGAGACATGGACGAGGGTCACATCTACATCTTTACAGCGCGACACAATGTATGCAATTATTTATATATATTTATAAATATCTAGCGAGAATTAATTTTGCTCAAATTAATTTAGATTTGACTTTTCATCAGAGATTAAACTTTCAACGTTATTTAATTTTTCAGTGCAGTAGATAAATATAAGCAATTAGATTTTCATTAAAAAATTCACTGAAAGCTGTATTTGATGGAGTTACTCATGTAAAGGATTTTTTATAGATCTAAATAGTCTTTATAATTGAAAACTGAAATGAGAGAATATTTATAGAGACTTTCTCTCCTTTTAAAAATTACATTTTGCGCAAAATTCAGAGTAATTTAGAAGAGCTGCAGACGATCGAAGGCAAGATCGTCGGAGGTAGATTCGGGTCTGCCGTGATGTGTCTGGGTGACATCGATCACGACGGCTACGGCGACATCGCCGTGGGTGCACCCTACGAGGAGGAGAGCGGCGGTGCGGTGTACATATTCAACGGGAACAGAGACGGCGTTTCCCGGAAGTACAGCCAGAGACTGGTCGGCTCGCGGTTCTCGCCGACGATACGGGGATTCGGTATCTCCATCTCGGAACCCCGAGACGTGAACCACGACAATCACTCTGACATCGCCGTGGGTGCTTACCTGTCCGACGAGGTGGTCCTGCTGAGATCCGCGCCCGTTGTCACGGTGAACGTGACGTTGACGTACCTGCAAAAGATCAAATTGCTGAGAAACACCACGTCCTTCAAGATCGACGTCTGGATGTCTTACGACGGCACATACGTTCCCGATTCTCTGCGTAAGCGGTCGACGTATATACTTTAATTTTTTTAATCTTATATCTTGATTTAATAAGTCATTACAATTTTTTTTTTTAATTACGCGACATGGCCCCCTCACGTACCAGTGCCAAATTCATTGTCTGCACACTAAACGGAAATGCAGATTTAAATCATTGAATGAATTGAAAATGGATTGGCCTTCAAATTAATTGGAAAATGAATGCATTTCTGTAGAGGCCAATTCATTTCAATCTATGGCTTGAGCAATTTCAATCCATTTAAATTAAAAAAAATATATATTTTAATTCATTTCCGTTTACTGGGTGTCATTCCAGGAGTTACCGCAGTTCTGAAGATTGATCCGCTGCACGGCCGAGCCACGTACTCTGCGCAGAAAAGTGACGGACCACAGACTTACAGATTGCGCTACACGCTATTTAAATCTACGATCACGGGTGATCTGCTTGAGATACATCTAACGGTGCACACATTTTTATGTCCGATATCGATGATCCTTTCAGCACGCTGAATTTACATCTTTTTTTTGTGTGTGTATTTTAGGAGAACATTCAAAATGTGATAGATCCGCTTGAGATATCGGTGTCTATGCAGTTGGACGACGATCTTCACGCGAAAAATGAAAATTCATTGTGCGCATCTTGCGTCGTGATAAACAAGCTTCGTTCGAAGACCGAGGACCTCATAAAACTGCCATTCTCCGTGGACTGCGGCGAGGACAACGTGTGCGTGTCCAGCCTCGGCGTGACGTTGTCCACTGACTCAGCTCCGGGCAACAGATACATCATCGGTTCTACGCCGATAATTACCCTGCGCGCCGACGCTTACAATCGTGGCGAACCGGCGTATCAGACCAGAGTGCGCATCTCCGCCGAGGTGTTAACGTTAGCGAGTATCCCGCCCGAGTGCACGGAGGACTATAGCGTGAGCAGTGCGCTGGATGTGATCTGCGACATCGGCAATCCTCTCAGAACGAATGTACGACGATCTTAATTCCATATGCGTGGGTAGACTATTAATGAATAAAAGATGATTCATCTCGTTGCTTTTCAGAGAACATTAATTCTGCAACTGGACACGAGTATGGTGAGGTATGACGTTAGGGAGGTGGAAATACAAGCGAATATCACGACTCAAAGCGACGAGGCGAACTGGGATGACAACAGTTATACCATCACTGTGTATTTTGACGTGGACATCGATATAGCGATCGCCGGGTTGGTGTAACAGCTCGATGACAATTAATTAATCTGAATGATATCGCTATTCCGTTTTCATCGCTCCTTTCCATTACAGGAAAGCGCAGGAGAACTTGTACTCGTACCTGCGCGAGAACGAGAAGAAACCGCTGAGCGACATCAGGTTTCAGCACCTTTACGAGGTGCAGAAGTTCGGCGCCAGTCCCATCAAGGAGATAATGTTGACCGTGAAAATTCCGACGCACCTCCGTCGCGATGCCGTGGACGTGGCGATCGTCAGTATCAACGACACCATCGGCAAAATGGACGGATATGAATTCTATTGCAGCGACTCGAATCAAACCGAAGTGCTCTCCGAGTCCAGTAAAGTCGCGTTTAGTCGCAAGATCGCGTCCACGGATGATGCAATCGTGATGAACGCGTCGAGCGTCGCGAGCAAGAACACGCACGCGAAATTCAGCATAGAGGAAGACGCGCCGCTGAACGTGCCGTCCGAAAACAGAACGCTCTACATTAATTGCACGAATAACGCGGTCGAATGCGTGCGCATCACTTGCAGACTGGGTCCATTCCTAAGTTCTCTGTCGGTTGCGAAATTTTTGGTGACGTTGGATTTGCAATTGTCGAGTTTTCCCGGTAAATATAACATTGCCAATCTCAATGTATAATGATAAAAGTACATTTCGAATATTCTCTGATTACAGCTGACATGCTCAAGCACAAAGACATCATATTTTACGTGACTGAAGGTAGCGTTGCTATAACGCAGCCTAAAAATATTGCTCAAAGGGATGGTCACAAGCCGGACGTTACTTTGGTTGCAACCACATTTTTGGGCTCGCCGATAGCTCAACAGATAGCGGTGTGGATAATAGCGCTATCGGTGATTTTAGGGGTTGCACTGTTGATACTGTTAGTGCTAGGTTTAATAAAGATCGGATTCTTCCATAGAAAGAAGAAATTGGAACTCGAGGCGTTGAAAGCCGAGACTGACGTATGTTTAGCATTCTCGTTATATTTCATACATAAAAATCTTCTTTTAATTCTTAATTTAATCTTGATTTAAATCTTTTAATTTCCCATAATCGTTAGCTGCTTTATTAAACGACAATTCCGCGTTTCAGAAAAAGTATAATGTGGTACTGGAGACAACGTCCTCGACAGAAGTTCTTGACCACGACTGAATACACAGAAATAAGATTTATAAAAGAGACTTAATTAATTCTAATGCGTTTTTTATTTATGTACTGATATAGATTTTTTTTTTAGAAATAATCATAATTGCGCATTAACATTACGACACAAATATATAAAATATCTATTTTGTACATCTTCTTAAGGCCAGTTTTATAAAATAATAAAATTTTTATACAAATATAATCTAAAAAAATGATTTATTTTTGTTATAGCTGTCAATTTAAATATCAACATCCGGAGCAACGAAATAAATGTGAATAATAATACATATGTCATCGTTATGTATTTCGACGTGGATCTTTAACTTAAGGATTATCGGGGTTAGTACATCTCGATGCGAATATAATTTACAGACTTTGCAATTCTATACTGATACACTATTTCTATCAGAAAAGCACAAGAGAATTTGTATTCGTATTCACACGCGGACGAGAGAACGCTGAACATTACTAGGTTTCAACATTTTTACGAGATGCAGAATTTAGGTGTCTGTCCTACCGAGCAGGCCGTGTTAATCGTGAAAATTCCGACGCACATTAGACGACCCGGTGTCGAAGAAATAGCGATCGTTAATATCAACAATACTTATACTGTCAGGGACGAACACGAATTATAGTGCGGTGACTCACGTCAAAACGAATTCTTCGCATTAAAAGAGATCGTAAAAGAGATCCACGCGTACGGCAATCACGACAAATATAGCCAAGCATCGCGAGCGATAACACGCATGCGAAATTCAGCACGCCGATAAATATACCGCCTGACAGAAACAGAACGGTCTACATTAACTGCACAAATATCGCGGTTTATTGCAGTTTGATTACAGACTGCGATCGTTTTTGAGCTCCTTATTCGTCGTGAAATTTTTTTGGTCATGCTAGATCTACAATTAAATTTTTCTGATAACTATATCACCGACATGAAATGAAAACACATTTTACTTATTCTCTGACAGATTACAGACGACATGATAAAGGACAAAGACATGTATTACGTGAGCAAAGGTAGCGTTAGTATGTACAACGCAACCGTACAATGTTATCCAGACAGAGAGTAAATCGGATATTTTAGTAATACATTTCTGGGCCTGACGATCACTTACCGAATAATAATACGGACAATAACATTTTTTTTTAGTAATTTTAGGAATTGTTTTGCATTAACATTGCGTTTAATAAAGGTCGGATTCTTTAAGAAAAGAAAAGATAGATTTAGAAGCGCTGAAGGCTGATGATATATATATAAAAATCGTTTAATTAAATATAAATTCTTATCTTATTTCATGACAATTGTAATATATTATTTTATCAGATCTCGTAATTCGCGTTTTAAAAGACGATATCTTGAATAAAAACTCTCAATCATAACAAATTATATAAAAATAGGATTTAAAATATTACTTAATATATTCTAATGTATGTTTAGCGTGATGTGTATATTTATTTTTTATGTAAATAATAAATGTGTATATATATATATATATATATATATATATATATATAATTGTGCACATTTGTAATTTAAATATGTATATAAGGCATATATTATATATCTATCTCTATATTATATATATATCTCTTTCTAGCTAAGGCCACTCTTATAAAATAATAAAACTTTTATAAAAATATAATCTTAAAAAATATTAACTTCCTGCTATACCTGTATAGCTGTCAATTGGACTATTTCATGGAAGGGCTAATTTTGTAAAGAGCAGTTTTTGTATTTGATTTCTTGATTCTTATCTAAAATATGCAACCTTTAAAATCTTTAAAAGCGTTTTTAAAACAAGCTTAATTCTACTTAATATCATTTGTATGAGAAGATTCGTATGAGATTCGTATATAATATTGAGTAGTATTCTTCGGCATTTGTATTTGATACAGATGCCAATACGACTAAAAATCCGCGTCAAGAGGCGGAAAGTGTGTATCGTACTATATTTTGATAAATGAAATTCATGATGATACGTAGATTACGTTTTCAAGCAACAAGAGAGCACAAGATCATCACTAATGAGTGTACTTGCACACTGAAGTCTTCGGCGTCATCGACAATGATTGTTCTAATCGTCCAATCCGAGTCCCTTCGAAATTTCGTCCGCGCTTAATTTCTGCCCGCCGGAAGACGGTGGAGTATCCGGGCGCGGGGTTGGCTTCGGTGCCGGCGGAGTTGATGGAGGGGGTCCATAATTCGGAGGAGGCGGTCCATAACTCGGAGGTGGTCCATAACTCGGAGGAGGTGGTCCGGAATGATAATCATCATGAGATTTCTGTATAGAAAGAATACATCAAATATTATTAAAACTAAATTTTCTTTTTTTTTACAATTAATTTTGTAATGTATTTTAATCTTTTAAACTATACATATATATCGCAATCGAAAATGTATTGAAATAAGTTATTTACATCTTTTCCACGTTTGTTCAGACCGTCGAGAGCCGAACTGAATAAGGCAGACCCTATTCCCGACAACAGATCCGATCCACCAGAACTTTGGCCGCCGTATCCACCACCGGATGCCGGATAACCGCCCGACCCACCATATCCTCCCGAAGGCTGATACGCTGGTTGCTGATGACTTCCACCACCGCCGAGAACACCACCGAGTATAGATCCTAATGTTCCGCTCAGACCATCACCGGCGGGCGGCTGGTGATAGGCAGGCTGTTGGGATCCTCCACCGCCTAAGTATCATCAATAAAAAAAAAAACATAAAATAGATGTCGTGAATTGTGTGAAATCGTATCTTAGATACGATTTAGATAGTATCAACAATGTATCTTAGGCACAGATAATCATCCATTTATCTCATCTGAGAAATATTGCCGTCCTTGGCAATAATTCCGATGCGATGACGTCACTCGGCCGGTCACGCCAGCGCCTTGATTACAGATTTTCTGATTTGTAAGACTCTGAATCACGACATATATTCATTTACAGGAATTTACTATTCAAAGGTTACTATTCGTCTCGCTAAATCACAGATATTCTATGTATCCACACCCGTCAGGAAATCTCCAGATACATCCCCGATCACATATGTAACATTTTTGAAATTCAAGAGTTATAAATATACTCTACCCAATGCTCCAAGAATAGAGTCCAATACACCGCCGCCACCCGATGGCTGCTGGGCGGGATAGCCTTGTTGTGCGTGTGCGTTGCTGTGCAAGGCGTTGCTCGCCAGGCTGCTAGCTAAGGCCATCCCGAGAGATCCTAAATTGCCGAAACCACCCTCGCTTTCAGTCTTCGACTTGGAAGCATCTGATTTTTCATGATCCTTTTCCTCGTGCTCGTCTTTCTTTTTCTGCATATAACACATTGTGTATTTGAAACAATATCGTATTATAAATGTTTGAACATCTCTTGAGTTTGAATATCTCTCTATTTACATTTATCGCATGCATGGCTGCCGCCACGCCTCCAGCTGCCACTAATCCACCTAACGCTAATCCAACTTTGTCCAGACAATCTCCGAAGACGCCCTCTTCCTCTGCTTTCCCATGATCAGGCTGATATCCGTAGGCTCGTGGTGGATTGTAGCCATCAGGACCGCCATAGGCACCGGGAGGAGGTGGAGGAGGACCGTAACCGGTCGGAGGAGGAGGCCCGTATCCACCCTGAGGCTGGAGCGTTGGATATAAACCACCTGGTTCTGAAATGTAAGAAATACAAAGTTTTCAATGTTTTCATATTTACATGTATCAACTGTGGTTAGAATATAAAAAAAATGGATAGAATATGATTCCCCCTTACGTGGTGGACCAAATTCGGCAGATACATCGCCTGTAGCAGGTGGTCTTGAATCGACCGATACCTGTTCATATGCGATGGAGTGTATCTCGACGTCGCCGTCGATAACCAAATGGGTAACCTTTATGAAGGGCAATCGGTGGGCGAATTCTGCAAAGTGCCTGCCATTGATAGCGATCTTGTAGCAGTGATAGTCGCACAGAATCATTATCTCAAATTCCTGGCCCGGCTGGATCCACAATGGACCAGCATTCTCCTCCATGCCCCAGTTCATCGACTCTATGTGGTTTCTGGTGACGAAGCCCTCGGGGAAGCGCGGGGACACGTGAATGGCTATGTCATCTCTCGGATTTAACGTCGGTCCGAGCTGATAATTGATGGCAAATCGCACAGCCTGAGGCGGCACCTTGCCCTGTATCTTCACCATCGTACCTGCCCTCAGGCCTCCTTCTACTTTTCCCACATACGGGATTTCCTGAAAACATGATTGTGAGAAAAATGGTGCAAAAAATGCAGTGGTCAAGAGACAGGCAAATAATTTGCTAAAAATAGCAACAGAGCAGAGGCTCTAATTCTTGGCATTAATTGGAGCACAAATTCTCTTAATGTTATTTTTCAATTTGGGAAAACAATATATATAATAACTGTTATATATATTCTGACGCTTAAAATGATGTATACTATATCAGTATACCTAAATGTATAATTTACGATCGGAGTTACGGCTGAAGAAGTAACGGTTAACCAATTAATGGTACGTAAATTCGCGGCTCTTAAGACGCAAAAGCGTCGGCAATGCGGGCAATTTGCCGATCAATGAAGGTGTCAGTGATGAATAGCGGACGCGGGCGCTTACCGGATTGAGCACCGGGGAGTTGGCCATTCTCGCGATCTAGTTTCGATGCCGATGTATGTACGTTGTTGAGGGACCCCAATCGCACCTGTAACCTGTAATGACACTGATGCGCAGCGCGAGGACGGCGCCTTCCCCGGACTCCCCGTTATACGAAGCGTTTTCAACTCTCGCAGCGCCGACCAGCACTTCTATTTACAGTGCTGACGTTTGCGCCCGGAGCGCAAAGTATACCGCGCGTGGCACGAACTGTAGCGGCGACACGGCTTGTGTTGTGACTCTTCGGTTCGGTGTGTGTAGTCGCAATGACGATTTGACGCATCGGTTGCGTAATCTATCGCGCATTCTCGCATCGTCACGTCCGTACTAGAGTCCCTGGCTAGGGACTCTAGTCCGTACGCGAGCGCGAGGTACGAATTGAGCCGCGCGATTGGATGGGCGACGCGCGTCCGCCGAGCTGCCGGGAGGAACGGCAAGCACGTGCATCGCCGCCAATCGGTGCGCGTGCACCTGTTGATGACGTCATACGCAAACACCCGGCACGTGCAGCCGTTCTTTTTTCTGTCATTCTTAATTCTGGCGCTTCATGCAGGAGTATTCTTGAGTTTTGACAATTTTGCAGACCGATAAAACTCGATCGAGAGACAAGCGTTGCTGAAGTTGCAATTGATAAGTATTCACAGTCAATCCTATAAAGTCAAATAAAATGATAATTAAATGGATTTTATATTTATACATGATGTATACATATGATGTATACAAAGAACATAAATCTTCTATATCTTATCTAATCTATAATTGCGGGCAAGAGACAATCAAGAAGTGATTCTACTAAACATGTAAAATAATGCAAACAGAACGCCTGATAACGAAAAACGAAAGCTAATGAATGAATAATGAATGTGGACTGTACTAAAAATAAATGTCAATTTTACCTAAAAAAGAAAGAGAAAGTCGGAATTAGAACAAAAAAACTTTTGAAACTGAATAACTTTATTAGAACATTGCCATGACGGTCATGATGATCGGAGTTATTGATAAGTTTTTTAAAATACTTGTAAAAAATATATTATTTAATATAAATTTTTAAACATTAATAATTAAATATAACAACATAAAGTAGAAAATATTCAAATCTGTACTATCGTAAGAGAGAATTTTTTTCTTGCTTAATCATACATATTATGCAATACTTACATTATTTTATATGCTTATGACAATGAAAATTTTACTGTGACATAATTAATGGTAAAACATACAAATTAAAATTTACTAAACAGACAACTCGTTAATATCCATTTTAAGTTATAATTATCTTCTTTTTACATTCGTCCAAGTATTTTTAGAAAGCATTCGAAAGATACACGAGACGGTTGCTCAGAGTCTCATCAAGTTCCATGAATGATTTCGAGTTGCGTAAAATGCGTAAATGGCCCGACACTTACGGCGTAGTGCGCGCGTGCCCTCGCCCACGTTCATTTTCGTCTCTGTTCACTTGTTTAATAGCCGACGAAATTAAATAAACCCAGGCGTACTGGATGAAACAGTGCAGCGCCGCGGCGAGTCCGTTTCCCCCGACATGAAGAAATAAATAGAACGGGCGCAGGGATTAATAATGAGCAGATGTGCCTGTGAAACAATAAAACGCAGAAGCGGGATGTATACGCGGAATGTCTGGAGAGAGAGAGAGAGAGAGAGTTGAAATTATTTCGTTATACTTGCACGAATAATTATTAATTTGAAAAGCGACCGTTTTTCGTTATTTGATTACACTGGACGTACGCGAAACGTTTTGCAGAAGTTGTAACAATAATCATCTTTTGCCTACGGATTCTAAAAACCACGTCGAAACTTGCTGATTGTATCTAAATTTTTAACTTCTTTTTTATGTTGATCTTTCTTATTTTATTAATCAATATAGTATCTTGAGAATTCTTATAAATCGGGCATTTTTTTATATTAATATTCAGCGACTTTCACAAATCTTAAATAATAATTAAACTAATTTTTTTTAAATCAGACAAATTATAGACATTTTATTCTAATTTATACAAAATAATTTGTATAGCATGTATTTAAAAAGTTGATTAATTCTATTACGTTGCTATTATTTATATAAAAACTTGCGGCAATAAATCTAAATTACTTTATTAATTACTGAATAACGTTGATCGAGTATTAATAATAATTAATGCTTTGGTTAATGTTGTCTTGATGATGAATATCTTAATTTAGACAGTATTGATGCATTGCGGATCACAAACGATACATTTTTCGCGATCGTTGTTAAGGGACATGCGTAAGGGTGTGTCAAAATAAAAGGTATCTGGAGCGTGATGGGGCTGGGCGCTGGCGCACCCACGTAAAGTAAAATATCTCACTCTCCAATCATCGTCATCATATGATCGATTCACGTGCGTGATGCGCCTCGGCGATTCGATACCCGTCTTATGGCAAAATGATATTACTCGCGTCACGAACTGAATTAATTGATCAGCGCACAATAGCTTTAGCCTTTTGCGACTTTTTTTTAGAAAATATTTTTTTAAGATTTTTAGAAGTCGTTGAATATATGCAAATGACATCATGTCATAAAAAGTTTAAAATAGTGCGATTCAACATCGAGAATGCAAAAAATAAGGTATCTTTATATTTCAACAAAGGTTTGTACTAAGATTTTTTGAAAATCACAAATAATAAAACAAATTAATAAAAAGGGATTCGTGTAGATGCTTCTCAGCATCAAAAATATTAAAGACCAACAAAAAGTGCGGCGCGCAGTTTGTGTGTGGCTGGATGTTGTAATAATAAAAATTACTATACACACCAACATCCGTGTCGGCTCGAATTGGTGTTACGAATTGGTATTACTTTGTCATTTCTGATCTATTTTTGGAAGCCTAATTCCTTTCAATTTAAATTTTATAACGATATTTATTATAATTTTTTGTACCAAGTTTAAACAGTCCTCTTTAAAATTCTTCATTTTATCTTAATAACTCGATATTCATCAAATATTTGGTTGTTTAACTATACTGAAACGTAAAAGGGTTAAGCAAACAAAGTAAACTATTATCATAAATTCGTATTTATTTCTTTTATATCCTTGGTTGATTTTTTTTTTCTCTATAATTTTAGCATTATTTTAATTCATTTATGGATATTACTGAATATAATAAATAAAATCGCTAAGAATCAACTGTAATATGTAAAGAATATATTTAAGTTTCCAAGGTTATTGTCAGATGATCACGCGTTTAATTAAATAGACAATGCGATTTTATGCGACTTAAACACGAAGAGAATTTTATTTTAAAATTTGCCGTGAAAATCATGTTAATCGTGGGACAACACAGTATTTCATTGAATTTTATGTAATTTTTACTATTTTTTTTAATGTACATATATACAACAAATTTATTGTAATATACAGTAACATTTGTCGAAATATTATGTTGGTCCATGATTAACATGATTTTCAGAGTAAATTTCAAAAGAAAATTCTCTTCGTGAAAGAAACGTAACATAATTAGCATTTTCGTAACAGGTGATAGTTTGTTATCATGACAAGTAATTCAACCTTTGACCGTGTCAAGAGATAAGAGATGCGGGTGACCGGATGATCAACTATTAAAAATCCGTTTAACCCAGAAAAAGCCAGAAAGAGCGGGCAAAAAAGTTCATGCTTTGCTCAGGACGCGTCCTTGCCAACGCCACTGTTTAAGTGGTGGCAGGACTTCCAGGATCAATAAGGACTTTTGCTCGAATAACTATATTTCCAAATAGAGACCGTCGAGCTTATGAAATCGACACGCAAATATTTAACTGCGTGATACTTCTTGATTCTGTGTTTTCGATAACAATATCCATTGTTACCATTATTACAAAATATTAAAAAAAACTCTAATTTTTATTATAATTATACAAATTCTCATGACATCTAAATTTTCTAAAATATCAACTTTCCTTTAAATAAAACGATCCAATTTTCGACACCTTTCGATGTCGGGTGTTAGTGTATAATTTCCGATATTTAAAAAATAAAAAAAATTTGTCAGAGAATCCGTTGTTATAACTATGGTGTGTTGTGAAAGAATACCTTGTGTCAACGGAAGGAAAACAAAGCTAAATCGAAACTTTGTACATGAAAACTTTAGTTAGACATACTTACTGCCTTAACCGATTGAAACAGAATCAATAGACTGGAATAATAGAAGCAATATCCACAAAACCATCGCCGCAACATCAATCTTCTCTTTAACGAATTTCTCTCTACGTCAACCATATATTCCGCTCCGCAAATATAAATTCAGAAATTCTATTTGAGTATTCAATTGCGAGTATTACAGTTTCACGCTTTATACTGAGCTTATCTAGACGAAAAAAAAGTTTATTATTAAACTTTCTGATACTCCAATCTATCCTACTTCTGCAAAAAAATTTTGTATTAAATCCAAAAATTTTTTTATAACTAAACATTAAATACATCTTCTCTCATAATTTTCCCCCGATAAATATAATTTTAAATAATTCAAGAATATAAATAATGATCTTATGTCATTTTATATACATTTTATTTTATCTCTCTTTCTTTCTCTCTACTTTTTACCTTATCTCTGTTCAAAATTTGAATGTCTTTCGAATTCTTAAGAGCATCGGGTTTTAATCATATGCTCATTAGCGATATAATGTAATTTATCATTAGAAACATTTTCGATTCATTAGAAACGTTTATCGATAGGAAAGATTTTTTTGATTTTCTTTGTTTCGGCATTTCCTTTAAAAGCTTGAGAGATGTAACGTCTTTATAAAACAAAGAGGAAGAGTGCCAATTTAAAAACGCTAACCAGCGAGACTGTTGCGTGTCGACGTAACAGCTGACTATATTATGGTGATCGTCAAAAGGCGCCGAGTTACAACATCAGAACTTCTCGAAAAGCACGATAACAAAAGGTCAGAACCTCGCGCTCTCGAGGCCAGTCAGCAGCAAATCGTCACGTCGCGCGTTGTTAAATTCGATCGCTCTTTTGCTACAAAATTTCTTGTACGCGGAACACGTAATCGCACAGATTGTATTCATATTTTAATTCGTGATAAACACACAGTGATAAGTATACTGTTTATTTGTTAATTATTTGTTAAAAGATATGACGATTTCGTCCCCCGCGCCGTTGTTCTGCACTCGTTGTTTTGCAGCTCGCGCGAAATAATTCTCTCCTTCTAACGAAATGTACGAAGAAAGTAAACTGACAGGAACCGACGAGGTTCTCATTCCTTTTCTTTCGACTTCTTTCAGGATTGGAGCGAAATAAGGAGTCTCGTCGGGATCAATAGCGTACGTACGAGGGGGACCCTTCTTAACCGAACCTTCCTTACGAGTTCGCCACCATAAAACGACCCGTACGCGCGACGCACATTCTCGACCCCATCGCGACCAGGTGCTTATCGCACACACCTCTACACTTTTGTGCATTTGTGTTCGTCGGTTCGGGTTTCTACGCTGCCAACTATATTCACCGTGCATACTTGTCCCGCAGGTAAGGGCAACGGTTGAATGGGAAATAAGTGTGCGCGCGTTTGCGTGCGTGCGTAACAGCCCCGACAGTTACCGTTATAATATACAACAATAAAAAAAGAATAATCCACCTACACGCCGAAGAAAAATCTTTTGTTGGAGTTTTCGTGAAATTACAATACTTGACACGCTTAAAATAAATATAATCGCTGATTATCACGTGGAATATAATTATTAGATTTTAAATTAAAGGAGAAAGAGCTAATGAGCCGAGCCAGACGTATGCAAATATTTAATATATTTTATTTATATATTCGACGTTTTTATTGCAGATCGTTGACAATCTAATAAATTAAATATTTGAGCGCATACGTCTGGCTCTCGGCTCATACAGCTCTTTTTCCTTTAATTTGAATTTCATTTATAAGAGTCTTAATACACTGTTTATTTTAAATTTTTATTAGATTTTATATTGCATATATTCGCACCAATTTCAATATACAGTAAAATTAAAGACGCGTAAAATGAAAAGAATTGCAAAAGAATAACACGAAATTAAATGAAATTATTAATAAACTGATTGTAAATTAGATAAATTATTTCATCAAATAAATATTGTGTTGTTTTTGGTGTTCTATTAATAGAATTAAAAAACGAAGTATGCATAATTGAATACCGTCGTTAAACTCTTGTTTGCAATACCGGATTTGCAATATAACGTCAGTGATTTTCTCGTTTACATTATTTCATGCTTACAATGAGAAATGCTATTTTGGTAGCACCGCGTACGTGCTCTCTTTCTCTTTATCTCTCTCTCTCTCTCTCTCTCTCTCTCTCTCTCTCTTTCTCTCTCGATGCAAACCATCCTAGTTGTTACTATAGTTTAATGGACTCTTGTAATATATGGAGGTATTTAAGTCAGAGTCCTGCCCATTTTCTTTGTCAGGTCAAACATAGAACAGATTAACATAGAACAGATTCTTTCTGAAAAGCTCCAGAAAACTTCAGAAAAAATTAATAAACAAGATAGAAAAAGAAAATATTTTTAATCTTCCTCAAAATATTTTAAGTGCCTCAATTATTATACAATGATTCAAATATATTTTCAATATATATTTTGATTTTTTACATTTTCAAATTCTAATTTAATAATTTTATTCATTTCAAGTAATTCATTATACATATTTACATTCAGACAAACATACTTCATAATTTTAATCAAAATTATGAAAATATCATTTACATATAAATGCATTTTATTCCTAGAACGCGATTGCGACATTTCAATAGAAGTTTTCCGCTTGCTACATTTTCATAATTTTAATTAAAATTATCAAACATTGTTCTTTATAACTTAAAGTGAACAAAAAAAGAATTAACAAAATTTGAAAATTTTAATATATATATTTAATTTTGACCATATATATTAATGTATTTAATAACTTTTTTTTTTTAAATAAATTGAAAATCTACTAATTCTAAGAAAAATATAAATATAAGAAATCTTTACAATTACATATAATTGCATACAGTTTCTTAGTTAAAATAGTATTTTAAATATTATCGAGAGTTAAAAATCGAAAAATAGATCGGAAACGATCTATTTTATTTAAACTATTTAAAGTAAACATTTTTTATATATATATTTTTTTAAATTTCGAGAGATGAATGTTTCGTATATGCATGATTATTATTATTACGATTTCTGCTACTCTCCACAGCATGTGGCTTCGCGGCGTCACGTCGAGCGTGTAACAGAGGCGGCACCACCGAAGGTGGTGTGGTGGAGCGGCTTGTGGTACTCTTTTCAGCCCTCGATTCGCAGTCTAACGCGGTCCGCAGCCTTCGACGGTCGCCTGTCGTCCGTCCGTCGCGATTTTCCGCCGTCGTCGTTCACTGCGGATTTTCGCGATCCTAATCGCCGATCCGCACACTCTTGCCATACGTATATACTCTAGTCCGCAACACCAATCGATCATATACGCATAGTTTTCCGAACGTTTCGAAGTGACAAAGCGAGGAAGAAGTTCGAATCGTGTACTTACTAAAGCTACCGTAAACTCGGAGTGCATTATCTATTTTGTTTCAATGCCATTAATAATTGGAAATAATTAATCGACCGCGCGTGAATATTATTCACGAGACGCATTCGACAAGTGATGCTTTGAAGAAACACAAAGCAGCTGAAATTTTTATTACTGGAAATCGTAATACGCGCGTACGGTGTAATAATGGTGAGAATTCGAATTAAATTTACTTTTCTTTAACTGCAATTTGTCGCTTACATATGTTTGCGAGAGAGTTAATCTTGTCAAGTTGTAGATATGTTCGCAGAAAAATAAAGCGATAATGTCTGACGTTTGTTTTGACGTTTCGTGTCGATAAAAATTCGAATTCACGTGATTCCAAATCAAATTTATCATTTTCTGTTATGTAAACAAATTCTAAAGAAGAAATGACAGTTGAATTATGTTATTAACACGATGAAAGATTTAATAGAAATCATCGTTTTAATCACTTTTAAAGACGTTTTACTATAAAATTTTGAATTAAAATATTCAAAAACCACGAATATTACGTTTTAATAGAATTAGTTTCAAAATATTGTTTACTTTTCTAATAATGTAACAGTTATAAAGTAAAATATATAGGATTTAATATTTAATGGAAATTAATGTTAAAAATATTAATTCTTTGAAGGCATTACTTTCAGATTATTTTAGAGGTAGTATTTTTAGATTTGAATTTTTTTTATTATTACATTTTATTTTAAATATGTTTGTATATAATCTATTTTTAATTGATATATGTTTTATTAAAATAAACAATTTTCTTATTTTATTACAGAATGTCGAGATTTAACAAAAATCCTTACAATTTTTTACTTTACAATTTGTTATGTTTAGGGGACATAGTTGTCATTTACTTTTTCTAATCTCTGAAATATCAAGCTTTAAAACTTATTGCTTCCTGTCTAATGTCTTACAACAGGTTCTTTCTCCTTAAAAAAATATTCGCTTAGCACCGCGTTGTAACTCCCTAAAGTGAACAAAGGCATATCCTGTCCTTCGCGTCAAACGCACTTAATTACCTTTTGCGCCGTTTTAAGCACTCGCCGGCGCTTCGTTTTACGTATGACGGAATAAAGGCGGCTCGCGCTGCTAGTAAACGATAGCATCAAGGCAGGAAGAGACGTCGGGATGTCACCTTCTTGTCCAAGAGGGCAAGACATCCACGTTTCGCGCTGGTCGCCCTTAATTGGCTCTAATTAATGACCGGCTGTCATCAGACTCGTGACTCACGGCGCGTGCAACTCGAACAGAATTCTAGCATTATCGCCTCTTTACGCAGTGCTGCACGTTTACCAAGATCCTCGAGATATACGGGCTGTTTAACGTACGACGTTCGTAGCGGATTCCGCGATGATTTTAGGCGACGATAAGATCGCGCGAGAATTTAACACAAAAAGAGATTTAAAAAACTCATATTAATATAAGATAAAAAATTTGCGTTAAGCTGATTATATTAATACTAAATCAATCTATGAAGTTCCGTTAGAACGTATTTAGAAATTTAAATTTAACAGATTTAGACTTGCAGAGCAGAAGTAGCAGCAAAAGTAAAACGAATGAGTCGGGCTTTCCTTGATCGAAATTGGATGTTCGTATTTTATTAACGATTGAAAACGAATGTTATTTGTGAAATGTTTTAATTTACATTTAATCTTTGCAACTCATGCAGTTTTTAATTAATGTAACAATCAAGTTACGCATTTATATTTGTAGATTTCCTCACGTTCAGAATATTCGTATACATGTTATTCATATGTTTTATTTTGCTAACTTTTTAATTTTAAATGCCAATCATATCTGGGCAATTGAATTTTTCTTGACAAAAGATGCATTCTCTAAAATCTTAGTATAAACTAAGGGAAAAATGGAAAAATGTTGTTTTGAAACTTCTGAACAGGAAATTTGGCACCGCCTTCTTTTTCACTGCAGTCAGATATATTTCAATCTATTATTACTTCCTGATTTTCGATTGCTCTTGTCTCTTTCTTTGTCTCTTTCTGATCTGTGATTACTTTTTACATTTTGCTTCATTTTCTGTAACAAAATCATTATTATGTTATATCAAAATAACAAACGTAACTATGATAAATATTACTATAATAAATAATAAACTACAATACAGTTTTTTTTTAAGAGAAAGAAAGAGAGACAATTGTCAATAAAAAAATGCAAGAATCGGCATTTCTTTACTGGAAATTTAATATTAACGAAAGTAACTTCTGAAAAGTCAAATTTACAAGCAACGATCACACCTTTGCGGCGGCGAAATCGTTTGTTTGGACGATTAAATTCGGCGGAATGGGTTTTAATCATTGTGTGTGGGACTCGAAATGTTCTCGTTTGCGGTCTTGTTAGGATGAGAATTATTTGTCTTGCGGTCAATTTCGCAAGAACACGGGTTCGCGTCGCGTCCTCGCTGAGGGGAGGAAAACTCCGAGCGCGCCGAATTAAATCGCGACTAACGGGGGATGAATCATCCCCTCTCTCCCGGAACATGGCGAATCGAGGCGATCGATATCAAAGGCATCTTCGTGCCGCCGCCGTCGCTGCCGCACGCCGGTACCTTTCCGCGTGCATTCTTGAATATTAAAACAATATCGATCCGTACCGGGAACAGATGTAACGATCAATTATGCAGCTGACGTGAAACAGCCGCTCCGCACGATCAAGTTAGAGCTTCACGCTTTCACTTTCAAATGTTACGCGACGCGTCAAGCAAGAGGGAATTTTCATCTCCGACATTAAAATTAGAATGTAAAATTTATAAATAAAATTTAGAATGTAGAATGTAAAATTAAATGAAAAATTTGTTTTAATTTGCGAAGTAAAATTTAAGCACATGTGAACGAATGTGTTATATCTAATTCTTATCACACGTGAGCACGGCGTTGTCGCGTCTACTTTCATAACGTATCTTCCGTACACTTCCGGTTGCGACAGTCTCTTCATTGTATGCCCTGCTGAAATTCCGGACAATAAGAGAGGCGCACATTCAATTCAGTGTTGCAGTTGATCTTACGTTTGCGTTGTTCCGTTCAAGATCGACGTCGTGGATACGGTCTCCGAGATATTGTTGTTTACTAATGAAAAACATTTATATTTAAACAATTGCTTTATTAATTTTTAAGAAACATCTGGCTTAAACTGTCTGAATGAATTGGAAAAATTATAAATAAATAAATAAGACAGTTATGCTCCGAGTTGATAAACTTCACGTTCTTCTTTAATCTATTTGATTACAAAGAAATATTACATATCTATAACTACCAAGAATGAGGGAGCGAATATGACTCACGAAGCATGCGATTATTGTAACCGTTTACACCGTGAGATATATGTAATCCATACCATCGAATCGAAAGTGCGTTCCGCATTGAAGATGCAAGACTCAAATCTATATAGAGTCGAAACGTATGCGATTTTAATGTTCAAATTATTTACAATAAAACAATTTTGTCTACGCTACAATTACTGCGTTTACTCCAAAGAGCATTCTTCATTTTCTGTTAGTTGGATAAATTATATTATAATTATAAGAATTGCAAGGAAAATAATTTTTCTATGACAAAACGATCTAGATTAAACTTTACTTACAATTAATATTTTTTTTTATTTTGAAAATTCGACAGAAATTTCACCTGCGAGAAAAAGTCAAGACGGAAGTCGTTCATTGCGATTAACAAGAAAGCGATTCTCATCGAAGATGAGAAATCAGGAGACGCTAGCATGATCGACATCGGTGCGATTAGTATCTTGACGCTTTTCCTGATCGTCGGCAATCTCGAGGCAGTCACAGTCGTGAACCATCATTCCGACGATGAATACGTCCTTGAACACGAAATCCTTCGCAAGGACGCACTTGCTGAAGCGAAGAAATTGGAGATATATCCTGGTAAGAATTATTTTTTTTTGCCAATAAAACGGATGTCATAAAACTAACAATAAGTGGGATAATTAAGGAGAATTAAATTTTCTTAGGATTTTCTTCAATATTATTCTATTTATGGAAGACAATACTTCCACGTTAAGAAACATTTAGTGTATAAGAAAATGAACAACTTATAGATATATGTATAAAAATTTATGTACGATATAGAATACCTCTTAACATATAATATACATTTTAGGAATTTTACAGCGGTTCATTATCTTTTTAACAATTTCATTCTCCTTTGACAAGATTTGAGTAAATAAAATTTTCTTTTCCGACTTTCTAAGTTTAAGTAATAAATATCTTGATAATTAAGTTTTAATAATTTTGTTATAAATCATTTTAAAATAAAATGAAGAAAATTTGTATTTGTTTTTATTCAGTCTTAATATATAACAAAAAGCTATCCGTCTTCGTTGTTCATAAAAAGAAACTATTGGCATGCCTCGATATTCTTGTCAAGGGTGAATTGAAGAAAGCAAATTTATTGAAGAATCTATTTCTAAAATTGGTTCCAAATGTTACGATATACCCTGTTCCTTAATAGCATTCTTGGTGAGGCTTTTTTCCCAATCTAGTCCAGTTGCTAAAAGCGTCGCATTAACGTTCTTGTCTGACTCCTACGATCGGTGGTCTATAAAGCTTCCTTACGGTACACAGAAATGTATTTATCTTACCGCCAAGAATAGCTGCTTTGATCCACCTAACCAGCGTCGCGCGATTGACGTTTCGAAATTTTTGTTCTGCCAATCGCGCCCTAACCGGCATGGACAAGAGAGGTACATGAATAACATTCGCAGAGAACAGAAGTGCTATTTTCAATACTCAAGTCAGAGCAATGTGTTTGCTATTTTTTTTTAATTTCACTAAATAATTTAACTTTACGTATATAATCTGTACGCACTTCTGTACACCGTAAAAAATTTTTAAAATATACATATAGTAACATTTTTAATATAGTAGATTATATTGATTAATAACTTGCCTGTAAATTAATTATATAAAATAAATTTTTATCCAAATTTTTTAATACACTAGAAATGATAAATTTAATATTTACTCAAAACATCATTCTTTAAATTGCTATACGTTACGTGGTATTTCAATAATACAGAAAATGATGAGTGTTGTGTTACGTATTTATGATTAAAATTACCGTTAATTACTAAAAACTGAAGTGTAACAATCGTGAAGTTAAATGTACTTTCTATCGTTGACGCATGAACATTCAATTTTCCGGCCTTCTGCTGCGGTTCTCCTTGTCGGGCTTAGATCACGCTTTTTCACGATTTTTTTTTCGGCACGTTGCCAATACCGATAATTCTGCATGTTCCGAATGCTCTGTTACGTTCACATCACGGCATTCGAAACACCTGACGATGCCGCTTGCATCGTAACAACATAACAGTGCGGCCAGAGCCCGAGCACGTGGTTCTCATTGCAATAATTCAAATGGCCGAGGAAGTCGATGATTACCCCCTAATATTATTTGCGTGAATTAGGAATTGTCGGCCGTGCAATCCCAATTCCGGTAATTTAATCCTTTGGCCATGGCTCGGAGAAAACGTGTGTGAGAACCGCTATATGCACCTGTTGCTTATCGGGAACGATTTAAACCTTCAACTATTATTTAAAGTAGCGAAAAAAGTGGCCGATTATATTATAATATCATTAGCGGCAATTAGAATTAGAATTCTCGGCCATTGTATGTTCTCATTTTTTCATATAACTCACTTAACGATTCTCATCAAATTAAATTACAAATGCAAAGGATACGCGCGATCGCTTATCGCGATTGCGGATTTAGCACAGTCTAACGAGGCCCCGATCCCTTTCGCGAAGGCGAAACATGTACACAATTGTATTCGCGATCGATGTCGATATGATGGTGCATCGCTATCGTCGCAGGCAGATAAACTCGCTATGAAATCGTGTCGCGGACACGATTTCATAAAGGATTACGCAAGGAGCCTCGAGTCCGCTAATTAACGTGAATCACAGATGCGGATTCGACACGATTGTCATGTATTTTAATCGCAGTCGAGCCGGCATCGAGGTTAATTAATAAGTATAATTCTTAATTAATAAGCGGTCATGCGTTCAGTTTTATTCTTATGTCTGACAGTGAGACATACGGCGACGCGGTCTCGTCATTTCGTCCGTCCAGCAAACGAAAATTGCAGATATTAACGATACGGCGGTTTCCTTTTAACTGGCGAGTTTTCTTCAGCTCGAACTCCTTCCTCTTATTCAACTTATTTTCTCCTGTTTAATTTTCCCTGTTGTTTCCAATTATTCACGCTAATCGCATCTATGATACTGTTTGCAGGGCCCATTCCGGGATGCAAGTCTTGCAGCTACTCCGAGATGACTTACTGTAAGAATGGCAGCATTATCAACGACCATTGCTGTTGCGACGGCAGCTTTAACAGTAGGTGTTTCGAGCGAGTGTATGATTAATACGCGATTAATAAATACTCTAGACGAACGTTTTACGGGCGAGGTCCCGTAAGCTCGCTTTATGATCGGCTAACGAAGCGGCACGCGATTTATCTCGGCGCGGCAACAACAAGCCGATCGAAATCGGCTTAACCTTCCCGACGACGGAAGTTGTGTTTTCCGTCTCTCGTCCTTCGTTTATTCACGTAGCGAGAAGTCGTATGAAAAACCACGGTCCCCGGCCGACGAATTCGTGCGTGAACAATCGGCCGTGGCGAGCCGAGCTGCAGGCTCGTTGTGCAACCGCGCTTCACGGAAATTTAGAGCAACGGCAATGATAGCGAGCGAGCGCGCGGGATCGGCGCAATTTCGCGATTTGCACAATAATGGCAAATGCGGAGTCGCGCGACGTAATCGCAATTATTTTTAGTCGATGCACTACGTGCCGTTACAGCTCGAATCGCGTGTTAATGTCACGAATAACCGTGGGATCGACGGATATATATACATGTAATGTGGAATTCTCGTCGGTATCCTCAGAGGTACCGAAACTTCAGAAGGTTTCGGAAATCTTAAAAATTATTTACGTTGCTCAAGTGTAAGCGGATGCGATGATAT